GGATTGTTCTGCTGGGTGGACATGAGACACCTCCTAAGCTCAAACACCTTCGAGGCGGAGATGGAACTGTGGAAGAAGATCGTGTACCAAGTGGGCCTCAACATATCTCCGGGATCCTCGTGCCACTGCACCGAACCTGGCTGGTTCAGACTTTGCTTCGCCAACATGTCCGAGGAAACACTTGCTTTGGCATTGAAACGGATAAGTTCGTTCGCGGGGTCCGAGCAACCGGCGGCGACCGGGACGGCGAGCCCTCCCCAAAATTCGAATAAGAGCAGCAAGAGGAAAGGATTCACAAAATGGGTTTTCCGGCTATCGTTTAACAACGACCGTCACAGGGAACGATAGCCAGGGCTTTAATTTGGCTAATACAATTAACTAGCTAATTAAGCTTCCTCCCCGGATTTGTGAATTATATTCCATCTTCTAATTTGTTTTTTTTTTGTGCTCAAGACCTTCGGATTGAGTCGCAATTTTTTTTGGAAGTAGTCAACATTATTGTTGACTATTTTTTAAATCAAACCCAGTCCTCGGGGATGAGAAGTGGTTTTCACTTGTAAACATTTTTACTTATGAATATATGCTCCTTATTGAATCTATTATCTATCATGCATCTCTCCATCTTATCAGATGGCGCCACCTTATTTGTTAAATTATTCATCTACCGGTACAGAGTATTACAATGGATAATCTATAAAAATACCCAAAAAATTAATGCCTTGACATCACTAGAACTTAAAATTGTTGGGAATAAAACACACAACACACACAAATACGAGAAACGAGAGAAACGGAACACGGACGACACACAAGAATTTAACGTGGTTCGGTTTTCCTACTCCACGGCTGCAACAGGAGGATTTCTATTTCACTTATCGTGTCTCCCAGAATTACAAGTACAAGAACTCAATATATATGAGAAGGAAAAAACCTAGGGTTACATAAAATGGGCCGGGCCAACAAGTCAAGCCCAAGCCTCCACAAACCCAACAAAAATTGTTGTGGAAAATTAAATAATTGTTGTGGAAAATTAAATAGTGAAGAATTAGATTATTTTGATAAAGAAAAGGATGAATCTTGGAGGATCCCATCACTATTTTGATATTTGAACAAACAATGGGTATGTAGTGGGTACTCGTGAGTGGTGGTGACTCATTGCTAATCATCTCTTGACAGTTACTGGCCAATATAAATTATTATAGAGTAGTTATGCTAATTTAATGTTGATTACTACTCCCTCCGTCCCATAAAACCTTTCTCCTTTCTTTTTTCATTCGTTCCATAAAATACTTCTCATTTCTATTAAAAAGTCACTTTTATGCCTTACTTTTTCATAACTCACCTATCACATCATACCTTTTTACTAATAATCTACCCATCAAATCCTACTTTTACCCATCACATCAAAGGACATTTTTGGAAATTCAATATCAAAATACACTCCCTTAAATCTCTTCAAAAAGCAAAACATCTCATGTTTCATGGGACGGAAGAAGTATGTTTTTTAGGGGAGATCTGAGAAGTAGATCTACAAATTAATGTACTTTTATATCATGAAAAAAAATTAATTTTATATCAAACAAATTTAAATAAGTATAACAAAATATTTTAAAAATAGTAAAATTATAATACTAAATGAATTATGTTGTACAAAATATACATAATATCACTAGAGTAAAATTACAAATACTTTATTTAATGGGTTGGTCCGTGATCACTGATGGCAATCTTCATTTTTTACTAAGGGCAGGTACACATGAAACTGAAATAAATAAATTTTCATTTGTACAACTAATTAAATAAAATGATTTTAAACTATCAAAACTAAAAATTAAAACACAAACGAAAAATTGATGAAATTTGTCAACACTATATTTATGAGTCTCGCATTTCTTTAAATTTATCTTTGTTAACTACCAAATCTCGTGACCTTCTCTTTCACATAGTAGGGCCAATTGGTGTTCAGTACAACCAGTGAACACGTAACAAAAAATCAAAATTAAATATCTCATTTTTTATTATTAAAAAAATTTACCTAAATAATACCAAAACATAGTAATTTTCTCAATGTAGTACCATATATTTTTATTTCTCAATTTGGCACCACTGGTTATTGTTCAAGTAAATATTCACCGTCACTGGACATTGTTCAAACTAACACTACTACAAAAAATGTCTTTTTGATACAATTTGATAATAACTTATCTTATTGAATATTGAGAGATATGGCCCTATATATAGGGAATACAAGAGTAATCAAAGTACAAGTAGGAATAGGAAAGAATAATCCTAGTAGGAAAGGAAAGAAGTATCCTAATTTAATTATACTTCCTAATATCCTCCCGCAAGCTGATCAACGGAGACGAGGGGCAGCTTGGAACATAAGTACTCAAAAGGAACTGGCGGAAGCGGTTTGGTAAGAATGTCTGCTAGCTGCTCTGAGGAGGAAACATGATGTGGAGTCATAGTGCCTGCCATAACCTCATCTCGTACAAAGTGACAGTCTGTGCCCACATGCTTCATGCGATCATGAAGAACCGGATTTTTGGTGACACAGATAGTCGACTCATTGTCACAGTATAACTTCGGTTTGGACGGAGGAATANGAGTTGTACCGTGCGGCCAAAGCATCCCAGAGGGCAGCAGATGTGGTGAAGCCGCGAGCATGTTTGTGAACGGAGGGGCTGATGACCGCTAGGAGGCAGGCGCGGATCTGTGTGTCAACGATGGTCCAGGAGGTATACTCTGGATTAGGGACGGTTTTATCGTTTTTGGAGATAGTTGGCGCCGGGGCTGCTTCATTACCATCAATCCATCCAAGGAGGAGATTAGCTGAAAGAGCTGTCTGGACATTGAGAGACCATGCCGGATAATTTGTTTCGATGAGTTTTTCTGGGATTAAGTTGTGGAGACTCCGAAGTAAAAGTTTTACTTCGGAGGGTAAGGACGCCAAAGGATCCGACGGGGCTGCCATGGTGGGCGGCGGTCGGAAAAAAAAGAGATATGGCCCTATATATAGGGAATACAAGAGTAATCAAAGTACAAGTAGGAATAGGAAAGAATAATCCTAGTAGGAAAGGAAAGAAGTATCCTAATTTAATTATACTTCCTAATACTTTTGAATCGGTTATTTTTACCTTTTTAAATCGATTGTCAACCGATGCAAAAGCTTGCGATGCAAATGTTGAGGTAAATATTTGCATCGGTTGTAAAACTGATTCAAATGCCCCTTTCCAGAGGTGGCGCCAATTCTGGGGAAGGGCTTTTGCACCGGTTACGTTGTTAGCAAACAATTGATGCAAATGATCTTTTCCCGTTTCTGGGAAAGAGCATTTGAATCAATTCACAGAATTCACAATTGCAATTTTGCATAGAATTCACAGAATTTTGTGCAAAATTACAGAACCAACAACACTACAAGAACTACAAACACAACCCAACAACACAAAACCAAATTAAACAACAACATGCATTAAACCAAAAAAAAAAATAAACATTTAATTTGCATCAATCACTAGCTTGTTCATCTAAAAAATATCAACATTTAACAAATAAACTACACTCTTCTAAAACTCATACAACTAATAATACACAATGCAACACAAAATTTACACTAGGTCAACAAGAAACCCCCCCCACCCAAAACTCCCTAACCTCGTCTAACTCGGCTACGGTATAGGGCAAAGTAGACTGAAACACCTGCAATACGAAAACAATATACAACATAGAGTTTAATAATCTATGAAAAAGAAAATGATGATGAACACTTTATTAGTTTAAAAAACATACTAAAATAAACTTACATCCTATAACGGTAAAAAAACATTGATACTCATCTTTAATTTCACGTATGGTACACCAATTAGCTTAAGCTAATAGGTAGGGCTTCACCCTTCAATATATGCAAGCGATACTCATCTTTATTTTCCGGTGTGGGAACTCCAACACTCCCCCGCAAGTGGTAACTAGCCTGACCTAGTTAGCACTTGGACAAACGAGTCTAGCATCTCAATCTCTTATAGCTAGCACACACAACGGGCGGTGGCATCTCAATCTCTTTTTAGCCAACTCAGCCCAAACCACAGACGGGGTAGCTCATTTTTGCTAAACCCACATCCAAATAACCAGGAACAATCAAACCCGGACCGGACCTGCCCCGATACCATGTTAAAATTCCGGCGGGCCGATAACAACGGATAGAGTATCGGGTGAAATTAACCACTTGCATATAAAGTCGGGATCCACAATTCTAACCCAAAAGCTTAAGCTGATAGGTAGGGCTTCACCCTTCAATATATGCAAGTGATACTCATCTATATTTTCCGATGTGGCAACTCCAAGAGTTACCAATCCTACGTGGGATGCCTAGAGAGTGCACTCATTTAAATCACTCCCTTCTTCTCTATCCTCTCTCCTCTCACGCATGATCATCCCCCTTCTTCTCTATCCTCTCTCCTTCCCTATTCTTTTTTTAATTTTGTTTTTGAGATTATTGCACTCAGCAATTCAACACCTCTCTTTTCAAAATGAACCAAAAAAAAATACGTGCATCTTTGTTTTTTTAAAAAAGAATTACCACTAATAAAAAATACTGCGGATGTGATCTAAAATTATTTTTTAAAACAGATTTAATTATTTTATTTTTATACCTTTTGACAATTTTTATAAATTCTACAGTATAAAATTTAAACAACGAGAGTAAGCGTATAAATTTATTCCATTTTTATTACCATTTATTTCTCTTTTTACAGTATTGTTTAATAAATGTGCAACACTTTTTCAAATTTTTAAGAAGTCAAAATACTTAAAACAATTTCCTATATACTCCCTCCGTCACAAAAAGATTTACACTTTTCAAAAAAATTACATCCCACAATCTCCTACCCATTTATATTAAAAAATCATTTTTACCTCTTACTTTTTCAAACTCTATCTATCACATCATACTTTTTTCCTAATAATCTGCACATTACATCCTACTTTTACCCATCATATCAATGGTATTTTTGGAAAGTCAAAACAAAATTATCACTCCCTTAATTTCAACTTTAGTCAAAACGTGTAAATTTTTTTTTGACGAAGAGAGTATAAAAAAAGAAGTACCATACTAATAATACCCGGGTAATAATTAGACTAGTGAAGAAATGTGACCACCGGGGGCGGCCTACCCACCCACCCACCCAACTTGAAAACTCTTCTGGAAAAAACAGATCACAAGAGGGAGGAACCTTTCCTCAATGATTACTCCCTCCGTCCTGGAATGTTATTCCCGTTTGTGTTTATGAAGTTTGAGCGACTTTATTTTAGTTCAATTTATTTGATTGTAGGTGTAAAATTAAAAAAATAAAATTTATATATTTAAAAACTACATCAAAAGTTCTACAAAACAAGCGCTGACAAGAATATATTATTTTATCAAATATCTAATGAAAATAGACAAAGAAAATGATTAATTTTGACCGTGTAAAAAGTAACTGGAAAGAACATTTTAGTACGGGGAGTATTTTCTTCTCATAATCCACACACACGATCGTCATCTTCATCATCATCATCTTCTACTGCCTTCTTTTGTTTCATCTCATTTATCAAATTCAATTATTAACAGTACTTATATAAAAAAACAAACTTTTCTGGAATTAATTTTGAACCGGATCTGCCTTCTCTCTTCCAAAAGCAAAATAATGAATCAGCTTTGATTAGAATCAAGAAATTTATGAAGAAAAAATCAAAAGAAATTTTATTTTAAGAACGAGTTCAATATATGTTTTGAGAAATTGGAAATCATATATTCATGATTGAATGTTTACAGTGAAGAGTTAAACCACTAGCCGTAAGGACGACTGGGTTGGCCTAAAAAGAATATTGTAATTTGTCGAGTGACTAAAAAATGAGAACAAGAATTGAATTTTGACTCAAGAATTCACAAATTCAAGCCCAGACTATCGCTCTCTGTTACGGTCGTTGTTTTGCGATAATCGGAAAACCCATTTAGTGAATCCTTTCCTCTTGCTGCTCTTATTAGAAGTACGAGGGCTCGTCGTTCCGGTCGACGCCGGTTGCTCGGACGCCACGAACGAACTTATCCGTTTCAATGCCAAAGCAAGTGTTTCCTCGGACATGTTGGCGAAGCAAAGTCTGAACCAGCCAGGTTCGGTGCAGTGGCACGAGGATCCCGGAGATATGTTGAGGCCCACTTGGTACACGATCTTCTTCCACAGTTCCATCTCCGCCTCGAAGGTGTTTGAGCTTAGGAGGTGTCTCATGTCCACCCAGCAGAACAATCCCGCGTTGCTCTCTAGGCACTCGATCCCGGCTTCCCGGAGTCCGGCCACCAACATCTCGTGCCTCTCCTTCAGCC